TTGCTGGGCCAGAGGATGGTCCTTCGCAGTGGCTCACTTTCTGTGTGCCCCCCCCTCCCCCCCGTTTAACTTTCTCAGGAAAGTGCATGGGGCACTGGCTGTGTAGGTTGATCTGACATTTGACACCGGAAATGAGCCCTAGGGGTCATAAACTCCGGCTGTAAATGTCACATGAGACTGGAAGGCGTTGCTCTTTGCACCGACAGCCACACAAAGTGCAGTCCGCGAAGTCCTGTTGCCGTTGCTGAGTGTGCGACCTCTGACCCGGTGGATGGCTCTGCTTGTGACTTGCGTCCTCTGCAGCGGGTGCAGGGAAGGGCAGAGAGTGTTCCCAGGCGGCCCCGGGAGCTCCTTCCTCTCATCTCTTCTCAGGACGACATCATTGATGACGTGGAAAGTTTCGTTGCTGCTGCAGAGATCCTGAAGGAGAGAGGCGCCTACAAGATCTACGTCATGGCCACGCACGGCATCCTGTCCGCGGAGGCCCCCCGCTTGATCGAGGAGTCCTCCATCGACGAGGTCTGTCTGTCTGTGGGGCTCGAACCCTTAGCTTAGGCCCAGGCCTGCTGCCTTTTCTGTGAGTAATGGAGGGACTTGCTCAGTGTTGCCAACCCTCTCCAGAGGCCTGTCCTGGCAGCGTCTGTGTACTTCAGTGTAATTCGTACTTCCATAAGGTTTGATGCCCAAGTAGCATTTCTCTGGGCTCAGCGCAGGGCCTCACCCTGTCACTTCTGCACACCAGCCCGTGGCGCTCAGAATCTTACGTTCTGAACCACGAAACCTCTCCCTGTGTGAAGTCGGTTAGTCAGTTTGTAGAAACCAGACTCGGCAGAGTAAGGTTCTGTGGGCTGGGCCTGGGGCTGGGGCTACTAAATGTTGGATCAACTTTTCCGAGTGACCATGGGGGGCACAGCGGTTACAATGCTTGTTCTCCGTGTCGCCATGACCAGGTGGTGGTGACCAACACCGTCCCTCACGAGGTGCAGAAGCTGCAGTGCCCCAAGATCAAGACGGTGGACATCAGCCTCATTCTCTCTGAAGCCATCCGCAGGATCCACAACGGGGAGTCCATGGCCTACCTTTTCCGGAACATCACTGTGGACGACTAGCTTTCACGGTGGCCTTGGCCTGGGACTCCTGAGCAAAACAGTGCCATCAATTATGTACCTGGTGTTTCCTTTCAAGGGAGTCAGATCGTCTCCCGTCAAGTGTGGTCAGTGGGAAGCATTAAAATAGTCGAGAGGGAGACAAAGCTCATGGATAAATGGCCTTAAATGTGTGCCCTCACCATCCTGTTCCTTAAAGGAAAGTTACCGGCACTTTCCTGAGAAGAACCAGAAAGCCTTACGGTGTTGACAGTACTTACCACAGGCAGTTTTAACTCTAGAACTTTCATTCAGTTGTTTCAGCCGCAGGGAAATGCGTGTCATGTTCAGCCCCGGGAGGGAAGCCAATTGTCCTCCAGTTGTCCTCACCTTAGGCAACCGCAGGTGAACCTTCTGGAGAGAATTGCATTTTCCTCGGAGAAACTGCTGTGTCTGCAGCCAGTGAGCAGTCGGGCGGCGGAGTGTTGCTCCCCAGCAAGGATGCAGGTCAGAGAATAGCGCCCTCTCTGGGTGTGTGCCTTGCGCTTCAGTTGCAAATGAAAGGCTCTTCACGCCGTGACACAGCCACCCACTGTCGTGCCTCCTGGTGACTAACTGGGTCCAGACTGCAGGAGACGAGGGACAGCAAAGGGGGGGTCCGTGGTGGTCCCGGTCCCCGGCCGCAGCCTTCGCAGGTCCTGTCCTTCCACCCACTGGAGTGAGATCCTCGTTGAGTAATAGGGTTAAGATCTAAATTTGTAAAACAACTAATTGTACGTTTCCCAGTTGGAGGTGAATCACTTATTGAATCACTTAGGACTGCACTTGGCCTTTCTACCCAACATTTAAACTTACACAGTCAGAACCCTGACTTGCACCCGTTTGTCAAGGGGACCTTGCTGCCGTGTGGTGTAAACTTTCCACCCTTCTAGTCTGATCCGGGTCAGGGCCGAGTGTAGTGATGGGAAGGAGGGTGTCTGCCCGGCTGTGACCCGGAATTGCTTATTGGGTCTGGTAGTTCCTCGGAGACAATAAAGGCCAATTTGCACATTTTGTACAGTTGTGTTTCTCTGCAGGGAAGTTTTGTTGACTTTTTAAAATATATATACATTTTCCCCCTAACTGGTTTGGCTCAGTGGATAGAGCATCGGCCTGCGGACTGAAGGGTCCCAGGTTCGATTCCGGTCAAGGGTATGTACCTTGGTTGTGGGCACATCCCCAGTAGGGAGTGTGCAGGAGGCAGCTGATCGATGTTTCTCTCTCATTGATGTTTCTAAGTCTCTATCCCTCTCCCTTCCTCTCTGTAAAAAATCAATAAAGTATATTTAAAAATATATTTATGTATATATATATATATATATATACACACACACACACACACACACACACACACACATTTTTATTATTTCAGGGAGGAAGGGAGAGGGAGAGAGAGAAACATCAATGATGAAAGGAAATCATTGCTCGGCTGCCTCCTGGACGTCCCCCACTGGGGATCGAGCCCATAACCCAGGCGTGTGCCCTGACTGGGAATCGAACCATGACTTCCTGGTTCATAGGTCAATGCTCAACCACTGAGCCACGCCGGCTGGGCTCGTTGACATTTTTATCCCTTCCCTAAGGACTAGAAAAGTTCCTAGCCTGCAGGCAGGACTTTGAGCCGTTAGCTTTCAAGCGTACAAATAGGTTGCAGCTGTTACGAGGCCAAGTTGGGGCATTTTGAGCAAAGAACTGAACTATGAAATGAGGAGCACGGGCAGGGGAAGAGCCACAGGCTTCCTCAGGAGACCTGGCTCCCAGCTCAGCCAGGCGGCTCGTCCTTCCTGGGCCTCTGTCGTCCGCAGTATAAAGAGGTTTGGAATTGAAAGCAAAGGTCCTTTCAACCAAGTTCCATTTACACCTCCATTTAATATTTCCCCAAGTGCATGTACTTAGTGAAAGCATTCAGTAGAATGTATTTCCTGGGATTAGAATGAGGGCATATTAGAATATGCCCTTTCCACTGGCAGAAAGTCCTCATGTGCCTGGCATGATACCAAGTCTCGGATGAACATGGAAACGGGCCCGGCTGGTGCGGCTCAGTGGTTTGAGCATGGGGTCTATGAACTAGGAGGTCACAGTCCATTCCCCATCAGGGCACATGGCTTGGTCCCCAGTAGGGGGCGTGCAGGAGGCAGCCAAGCGATGCAGCTGATGAGTGATTCTCCTCATTGATGTTTCTATCTCCCTCTATGAAATCATTAAAAATATATTTTAAGATGAAAACAGGAGTCCGGGAGCTGAGGTTCCAGCCGTGGCTAGTGAAGTAGCAGTAACAGTCTTGCGGAAAGTCACTGAGCTGGGGCTGGAGAGAGCGCACGCACCGCAGCTTCCAGCGCGGCCAAGCCCGACCCCAAGGCTGTGGCTTTGTGGTCTGGCCTTAAGTTCCCTAAGGTGAGCGCATGAGCGTGCAAAGAGTTTGTTCTTTTGAAAATATCAACCACCACCTGCAGGCCTGTGTGCCAGGCTCTGGGAATAGAACGGCGAACAGTCCGTGGTGGAGTTACAGACTCGTGTTTGTTTCAGTGATTTTTTTTTTTTAAATCCTCACTGTAGGATATTTTTTCCATTGATTTTTAAAGAGAGTGAAAGGGGGAGAGAGAGAAATATGATCTGAGAGAGACGCATGGACTGGTACACATGCCCCAACCGGGGCCAAAGATCAAACCTGCAACTAAGGCTCACACCCTTGATCAGGGATCAAATCCAAGACCCTTCAGTCTGCGGGTCGACGCTCTAACCACTGAGCAAAACTGCCAGGGCTAGACTTGTCTTTAACTCCATTTCCAGGGAACACTGCTTTTGTGGGGGGTGGGTGAAGGAGGGTGTCCATAAAGGGTTTGTTGTACCAGCTCAGACTAAAAACCTTGAATGTGAAAGCAGTTAAAATAGTACGCGCAGATGCCTCCGCAGGCTTGCTTCCGCTTTCCTGACGTCGCAGGGCCATCTGCAGGAACCTGGCACCGGGCGGGGAGCCTCACTTGTCCAGACACCACCTTGGTCCATGGCAGTGCCATCCTGCCTGGCAACGAGCTGCAATGCTGGCACCTGCCCGCTGCGTGTGTTCCGAGGTCAGGGAGCACCAACAAGGTCTAATTCGGCAGCAGAAAAGGCCCGTCACCAGGCGAGTGATTGGGACACATGGGTGGTGAGTGGTCTTTTCGGTTCCCCTCCCAAGGGGCCAAGGACGCAGGACCGCGCCCTAGGTTTGTGCCGCTGCTCTGCGTAATGGAGCCCGAAGGACACTCGGCATAAAGCAGGGTGAGTGAGTCCTGGGCCTTTCTGGGTGAGGGAGGCTGGTATGGGGTGCGCCTTCGGAGGCCTCCCCTCCCCACACCAGTGTGTGCGCCCTGGAAAAATGCCTGCGACCGTCCCTCGCCACCTTCCCTTGGGAGCGCTCACGGAGAATAAAAACGAGTGGCGCCTTGGAGTGTGGCAGCCAAGTCTCCCCCAGATTCCCACCGGAAAGGCTCCCTCAGTGCGCGGGCAGGTCCCGACAGGCGCCGCGTCCCGCGTCCCGGCGGCCCCCTCACCCCTCGCGCGGCGCGTGCGTTCTTCCGCGCGCCGAACCACACAACGGGGCGGACCCCACCGCCCGTTTGTCCGCCGACACCCTCCCGAGGGGAGGGCAGCCCTGGGCTCCAGCAGAGACGGACCGGTCGGCAGACGTTGGCGGCGCCCCCACCCCGCCCGGGAGGCGGGCGCTCCTCTCCGCCCTCCAGGCAGGCTCCCAAGCAGGCTCCCGATGATGGCTGGTGTCCAGTGCGGCTGGGCCCAGGGGCAGGGCGCCCCGGGACCCCTCAGAGGCGCGAGCAGTGAGGGGGGCATGGCCAACCGTCTGGCTGCCGCAGCTGAGCGCACCTGAGGCTGCCCGCCATGCCGCCCGCAGGCTTGGTCACCCTCCGGGAGCTGGCCGACCTGGCCATCGGCACTCCGGAGGTGGGTGCCGTCAACTTCAATGCTCTCCACACGCTCCTCGTGGCCCTGCTCAAGAACCTCAACATGCAGGACACCCGGGTGGACTACCAGCCCCTGTCTGAGCGGAGGCTCTCAGCGTTCGCGCGGGTCTCGCTCGGCACCCCGCGGGGCTCGATCAGCACCCCGCAGGTCGCTGTGTCCAAGGAGAGGCGGAGGAGCAGCGTGACCAGGGTTCCGTCCGTGGTGCTGGAGAGCCAGGTGAAGGGCCTGGGCGGGCAGGTCCAGAACCTGGACGGGCAGGTCCAGGACCTCGACCGGCAGTTAAGGACCATGGACAGCCAGATGCAGGGCGTGTTGTCCCACATCCAGTACTTCACCTCTCTGGTCGGTGGGATGGACTCGGAGACCTCAGAGTGGCTAGAAGAGCAGGCAAAAGCCTTTGGCTTGGCCGAGGGGTTGGGTGCTGAGAGGACCCCGCTCATCATCGAGCCGGGCGCGTCCATCACCGAGCCGGGCGCGCCCATGACCGAGAGGGGCGAGCTCATGGCCGAGAGGGGCGCGTCCATTGCCGAGAGGGGCGCGCCCATGGCCGAGAGGGGCGCGTCCATGGCCGAGAGGGGCGCGCCCATGACCGAGCAAGGTGCGCCCATGACCGAGAGAGGCGCGCCCATGACCGAGAGGGGCGCGTCCATCGCCGAGAGGGGCGCGCCCATGGCCGAGAGGGGCGCGTCCATGGCCGAGAGGGGCGCGTCCATCGCCGAGAGGGGCGCGTCCATGGCCGAGAGGGGCGCGCCCGTGGCCGAGAGGGGCGCGTCCGTGGCCGAGAGGGGCGCGCCCGTGGCCGAGAGGGGCGCGTCCATCGCCGAGAGGGGCGCGTCCGTGGCCGAGAGGGGCGCGCCCGTGGCCGAGAGGGGCGCGTCCATCGCCGAGAGGGGCGCGTCCGTCGCCGAGAGGGGCGCGCCCATGGCCGAGAGGGGCGCGTCCATGGCCGAGAGGGGCGCGCCCATGGCCGAGAGGGGCGCGTCCATGGCCGAGAGGGGCGCGCCCATGACCGAGAAGGGCGCGCCCACCATGGAGAAGGGCGCGCTTCCGAAGACCAAGCTTGTGCCGGGGATGGGCAAGGCGGTGCCAGGGATGGGCAAGGCGAAGCCCGAGACAACAAAGCCTGCGCCGGGGGTGGCCCCGCCCACGACCGTGCCTGGGATGGCCAAGCAGATGCCCGAGAAGACGCGAGGGTTAATGAAAATGTGGAAGGAAGGTCCCCAGGTGAGAGCATACCGGCCTCCTCCAATCCGCTCTCCGGCTCAGGCTGGAGCTGACCGCCATCACGTGGGGGCGGTGCCAAGCCTCGTGCAGCCCCGCCCATGTGGCCCCCACTCGCCTTGCAGGTCATGGAGATGCTCCAGCAGGTCATGGAAGACGTGAAAATCTTGAAGGAAGAACATGCAAGGGCGCAGGAGGTGCCAGAGTTCAACCCGCTGGTGAGGCGGCGGGGACCCCACCCGTCTCTCGCAGCCCCCTTCCCGGCCCCTTTTCAGGGAGCCCCACCCACTGCTCATCAGACACGCAAAGATCCTGAAGCCACCCAGAGGGAAGCCGGTTTGGCTCAGTGGATAGAGCGTCGGCCCTCGGACTGAAGGGTTCCAGGTTCAATCCCGGTCACGGGCAGGTACCTCGGTGTGTGTCTCTCCCTCTCCCTTCCACTCTCTCTAAAAATCAATGAAAATCCTCGGGTGAGGATTCACAAATAGGTAAATAAGGTGGTCGGTACTGAGAGACAAAGCTCAGTTTCGGAAGAGGGGGGCAGGGATGGAGAGAGTTCTGGGGTCACCCCTTCAGCGCCCCCAAAGCTCAACCGCAGGCGCAGCAACACTTTCACTTGGAGCAAGACGCGCAGGTCCTTCCCCAGATGCTGCCCTGTCCCGGCTCCTGCCTCTGCCCTCGAGGCCCCCAGAGGGGAGGGAGGGCTCAGAGGCGGAAGGGGGGGGGGCGCCGGCCCAGGCCCCGGGGGGCTCCGCCCAGAAGCCTTTTTGCCCCCCTGGGTCATTCTAAGCCTTGAGACCCCAGCGGTGTTCATTTTTGTTGTGGGAAGCTTTGCTTTTTAAAAATAATATTTAATAATTTTTAAAAATATATATTTTTCTTGATTTCAGAGAGGAATGGAGAGAAACATCAATGATGAGAAAGAATCATTGATTGGCTGGCTGCCTCCTGCACACCCCACACCAGGGGTCGGCCAGAAATCCAGACATGTGCCCTTGACCGGAATAGAACCGTGACCTCCTAGTTCATAGGTTGACGCTCAACCAATGAGCCACGCTGGCTGGAAAGCTCTGCTTTTGTTTTTTGTCAATCCTCACCCCAGGGTATTTTTCCATTGATTTTTTTTTTTTTTTTTAGGGGGAGTGCAAGAAAATGGGAAATACAGAGACAAACATCCATGTGTTTGACAAAAACACATCAATTGGTTGCCTCTTGCACTGGCCCCTACCAGGGCCGGGCATGAGAGGTGCCTACAACCCAGGTATGTGCCCTTGACCAGAATCGAACCAGGACCCTTTGCTCCACAGGCCAGCACTCTATCCACTGAGCCAAACCGGCTAGGACAAAAGCTTTGCTTTTGAAAGTGTGGTGTTTATATGGTTTTATGGTTTTGGTGTTTAGAGAAAAGGCTTTTTATTTACTCTTAGAATCTCAGATGATGGATGTTTGCCAAAGTTACAAGCTTCAGCAATTTGCTTTTATTTATTTTTAAAAATATATTTTTATTGGTTTCAGAGAGGAAGGGCGAGAAAGAAACATCAATGATGAGAGGGAATCATTGATTGGCTGCCTCCTGCACGCCCCCTATGTGCCTTGCCTGCACAGCCAGGGGTGAACCTGAGGGGGGGCAGTGAAGGATGGAGAAGACAGACAAGAGAATAAAGCCGGGGCTCCGTGCGACAATGCACTCTCTCAGGCACTCGCCACGGCCTGCAAGCCGAGTCTATTTTATAGCCAGATTCCAGGAGGCAAAGTAAAGGCGATGTCAAGATGTTTACAGTGTTCTCGCCGGTTTCAAACCTACTCAATTACAGGCACCTGGTCAAGCTTTGTTTACTTGCTGCACCTCCCGCAGCCCACATCCCTCAGCCACGTGGGCCCACAGGTTCGGACCATAAGGTCAAGCTCACAGCCACGGCCTCTGGCTGCCACTGTGCTGGGAGGCGTTGCCCTCCAACCTGGGACTCGCACGTGGCTTTGCCACGGGAGGACCGTGCCCTCGCATTAGTCCGAGGCTTGAACCTGTCCAAACGCTGTGGCCGCTCTCCACACCCCACTGGGGATCGGGCCCTGGATGGGAACCCAACCTGGGACCCTGCGGGCCGCCGGCCAATGCTCTTTCCACTGAGCCAAACCAGGCAGGGCGGGCGGCAATTTGCTTTTAAGCAGCAAAGTCCTCGCTACCCTCGTCCTTGGAGGCAGTGTCTCCTCAGTGGTTTGTCTGAGGTGGATCCAGGACCACAGGCTCCCATCCCAGCAGTAGCCTTTGCTCCTGGCACATCTGTCCCTACTCCCACCTTCCCCGCCCCACCCCGTGTCCCGTTCTTGTTGGCTTACCCACCTCTGTCTGCCCTCTGCTCCTCTCCCCTGTGAGGATTGGGGGTGGGGGGTCCACAGGAGCGCCTGCTTTGACCCGCCACCTCTGCACTCTTCTTCCAGGAATTCCTGCACCGGGTTGAGCAAGTAGAGAAGACAGTCAAAGACTGGGAGGAAGTTCTGGTAATGTCCGCGAGGGGGTGGGGGAGGAGGGGTGCCCACAGCCTGGCCCCATCTCTTGGGGTCCCCCAAACCCCCGCCCTGGATGTCTGCGTCCCTCCGAGTGGGGATGATGTGTACACCCTCTGCCTCTGAAGGGATCCTTTCCATGGCTGCCCAGCGCTCCATCAGGGCCCAGGGAGGACAGGAAGCCAGCGGCCCAGGGCCCAGTAACTTCTCCTGGGGCCAGGGCTGTGGAAGGAGCCACTGGTCCTGTGAGCTCAACTCTGTCCCTGAGACCGCCGGATTCAGCTGGGTGTGTGCGCGCAGAAGCACCCATGTTATCTGTGCCCTCAGGAACCCCTCTGTCGGAAGATGACTACGAAGCCTCCTGGAGGAGAACTCACCATGGTCACCTGGGAGGAGCTGGAGCAGGCAATTACTGATGGCTGGAAGGCCTCACAGGTGGTGCCCACGTGGGCAGGGGCTGGGCAGTGGGCTCAGTGGGTTCTCCCACATCTCTCCCTTTTTATGTATGTATGTATGTATATATTTTTAGAGGGAAAGGGAGAGGGGTAGAGAGAAACATTGATGAGAGAGAAGCATTGATCTGGCTGCCTCCTGCATGCCCCCTATTGGGGATTGAGCCTGAAACCCAGGCATGTGCCCTGACTGGGAATCGAACCAGAGACCTCTTGGTTCCTGGGTCGATGCTCAATCGCTGAGCCACACCAGCTGGGCAACCTCTCCCTTAAAAGAAATTATATCTACACTAATAAAAGGCAAAGATAAATAATTAACCATACCTTCGCTATC